CAGGCGATAGAGAAGCTCACCCGGGCCCACGACGTGTACTCCGAGATTGGAGACCGACAAGGCGTGGCGAACTGCCTGTGGAGCTTGGGCGACATCCACCGCTTGCAGGGCGAATATCCCCAGGCGATAGAGAAGCTCACCCGGGCCCACGACGTGTCCTCCGAGATCGGAGACCGACATGGCGTGGCGAATTGCCTGTGGAGCTTGGGCGACATCCATCGCATGCAGGGCGAGTACTCGCAAGCGATAGAGAAGTTCACCCGGGCCCACGACGTGTCCTCCGAGATCGGAGACCGCATTGGTGCTGTAGAGGCTTTGCAGAGATTAGGCGAGATTGATCGTGTCCAGGAGCAATATGATCAAGCCGCGGAGAAGCTAGGGCGCGCTCTTGACCTTGCTTCCAGCATTGGAGATCGCTATGGGATCGCTTGGTGTCATATTTACATGGGGAGACTCGACCGCGACCGGTGTCGTTACGCTGAGGCCGTTGAGCATATAACGATCGCTCGGCGATTGGTCACAGAGATCGGAGATGAGGGTGAGGCGGAATACTGCTCAGATCTCCTTCGTGAGATTCACGAGCTCATGGTGAGGTTGCGTTCAGTCGCGATATGCATTCGCCGCTGACCCGCGTCGTGCAGGATGAAGAAGGTCGCGAAGGTTCTGCGACAGCCTCAGACTCGAGCAACGACACACTCGAAGGCGCATGAGATGCGATATACGAGTATATCCCACTCTGCTGTGATCGACATGTTTGGGTGCTGCTACAGGGTCGATGTTCACCGCTACTCTACGGCTGATTAGAGGGTTCGCACTACCTGTCTTGAGCGCCGTGCGGTCATCCCCGTGGTTTCTACAAAGTCCTGTCCATTCACGTAAATAGAGCTCTTTGACTTGTACGATCCGGGCAGAAATCCCGTACCACATCACTAGATTCATTCTGTCATCGTCATTGATGGTATTTATCCGCCGTAGTATACTCATCTGCGCATGTAGAGCTTGCAACGATCCCACGACGTAGTAGAGCTTCGAAAGTGGGAGCTCCGGGCTGGCTAGGGATTCTGCGGCGGTGGCGGCGGAGGCGGAGACGGCGCAGAGATGGTGAGAATTAGTATGTTGACGTTCTCGGTGTTGTATGTTGATAGTACACATCACGATTAGCACTTGTTCGGTCGTCATGCTGATCACCTTCGTCGCCATGCCGGGCAACTTCGTGTGTCTGGTCGTGGAGATCGTCACCGCCAGACTGTATAGATCAACAGCTATCTCGCTATGTGAGCAACATCATCTATTCTCGTCGGAACTTGAATCCTGTACTCACGCTGAGCCACCCCGCCTTGCCTACGCCCTTCGTTCGACATGAACGAAACAGGCTCAGCGCACGCCGCGTGCTGCGGGAACGGGCCGCAGGACAGGTCGTGAAGCTCCCTTCGGTGTCGACTTCCAGCGTGAGTCGGGGTTAGTCAGCCTTTCGAGCGATATGAGCGCATCGCTGATGTGAACTTTTTTCCCCGACCCGAATTCGAAGCCGCAGAAAATGGGCAGCACCTTGATGTTCACCCATACCGCAGACGAAAGCATCGTGGACGACGGCGAGGCCGCGAAAGGGGCAGCTCATTTGAGGCGATGGATGCGATCTGCTGCGGATAGCATACCGAACGTTAATGCGCCATAAGGCGCAGCGATCTCCTATATGCGGGCTTGTCCCTTTTTTTCTGTCTGAATAAGCCGTAAATATGCAGATGAGATCATGAGCGAACGTCAATGCGGCGACGCTGCGAATACCGTGTATGTATTGATGAGGCTTAAGCGCTACGTCGATGAAATGCATCCCCATCTTTGAGCGTATGTTCACGAACTACCTCTGAATAAGCTTGAGCGCTATGTCGATGCCCTGTGCAAGCTAATGTCGACCGGGTCAAAGCTGGGGAAATGTCAAGCGCGAGACGCTTCTGTAGGGTCTTCACGCGTGTGTTCTCGGATGCAAGTTTTCACCGCCCAGAAAGAACACGGGGAGACCGTCGGGGGCAGGCCCGAACAGCATCTCCACAGGACGGAGTACGCAATTTTCTCGCAGGGCGATGTCAGGCCCGTTTCCGTGCGGGACCGCCTACTGAGGTGGTCGTGGTATCAGATTAATAGTGATCATGAAAAGGGCCGAACTTGGAGGAGGCCTTCAGGCACTGCACACGTTCATAAGTATTGTGAAGCCGCGAGAATCCTGCAGATCCTAGCCAAGTTCACCTTGTCCTATAAATCCAGTCGAATACATGGCAAGGATCAGGAGCTGAAAGAGCCCCTAATAAACCAGCGATAATCGTATCGCACGGTCGCTCTAGATCGCGACCCGTGCCTCGATGTTTCAACGGTTTCAACTTTCAACCGCCCGCGGGTCTCAACTTGCGATCGCGACACCTCCAGACCTCCTCGCCTGTTCACCACACACTTTGTATATTTCTAGCTTGTCATCGGGGATGGTGAAGACGAACACATAACAAACCCCGAAATCCGCAAGGTAAGTCGCGAACGGCCTGCTGCAGCGGAACAGCCCTGCGAACGACGGGTGCTTGTTAGTACCCAGTGACGTCAGACTCATCTTCTACACTCCACCCGCCTCGCCCTCGAGCCCGTGTGCGCTCCCAACGAAGTTCTTCATTGATTCGCGTCCAGACTCGCTTGTATCATCACGACGACGACGACGACGAGCGCGCCACCTTGTATGCACAGTACCGCGGTCCTCAGCGACCAACACGGCGACGAAGGCCGACATATGCCGGCAGCATCGCCCGTTGACCCGGACTGGCACCTGGCCGAAGACGCGCTGGCCTCGGCCAAATTGGCCGGGGGAGAGCGCACAGAATATGCCCAAGTCATCATCCCGGCGACAACGACGACGACGACGACGACGGCCGCAAGCACGACGACGAGCACTGACCCCGGAAGACCGAAGCAGGTGCAAAACGAGGGTCCGGCATTGGCTGCTGCTGCTACTGGTACAGACGCGGACATAGACGCGTTGACTGACGCGAACGCACGGGCAAGGTCATCAGTGACGACGACCAGCTCCCCGCCTTCGTCGGGCTCATCCTCCTCCTCGTCGGTATCACGCGTTATCGACTACGCTCACGTCGCTGTTCCCTCGCTCTTGCCGACAGAGACGCATCACCAGGACACGGTCGACAACGACGACGACGACGACGGCACGCACGATCGAGCTTTCGGCCATCGTCGCTCTCGCTCATCATCGGTGGAGGACGACGACGACGAGTTTCACGCGAGCACCTCCAGCCTTAGTACCAACGGGGCAATGACCTTCGTTACCTGTGCCTCATCGCCCTCGGGCCTCTCCCCCGTCTCCTCTCTACAGATATCTCCCGCTTCCTCAACCCCCGCCTCTCCCTCCTCCGTCCCCGCGTCCATGCTCCCGGACCCGTATTCCCTTGCGCCGGATCTTCCCTCATCGGGCTGTATTTCCGCCCCCACCGCCTCACACCTCTCGCATTCCCCCTCATCCAGCACACCTCGCCTCTCGGACGTGCCATCCTCATCCTCATCGCCATATCCCCACTCATCCTCGTCCCTTCCCCATGCATTCTCTCTCTCCCACCTCTCCCAGTCCAACGATCCCTACCAAACACTCAACCCTTCCTCCTCCACCTCTTCCGCGCCCCCGTGCCCGTCGAATGGCGCAGAACCGGAACCTGAGGTAGACTACGACTGGGCCACCTTCGTCGCCGCCTACGCGCGTGGGCGGTGGGACCCCGCCAAGACGCCCGCGCCGCCCCGCGCCACGCCCCGCGTCTCGGACCCTCCCGCAACGTCCGGCCCTGGCTCGTCCGCCTCCGCGACCCACTCAGCCGCCAGCGCGCAGGTGCTCTCCCTCTCGCTCGCGTCCGCCTCCCGCAAGCCGCCGGCGCCGAAGATGCAGCGCCAGCCGAGCTCGAGCGTGAGCTCGATCGCGAGCGAAGAAGGCCCCGCAGACGGCCTGCGCGAGCGCGAGCTCCACGCGGCAGTCGCCGGCGTCGGAAACGCGGGGGACCGGACGGCGACGCGGAGCACGCCCGCGCTCACGCTCTCGAACGCCACGCCGGATATGGGCGGGATGCTGCCCGCGCTGGAGAGCGCCGTCGCCGCGCAGCAGCGCTCGCTGGCCGAGGACCCGATCAGCGCTTTGGGGATGGACAGTCTCAGTCTCGCCGCGGGCCCTTCTGCTTCTGCTTCTGTGGCTTCGGTTTCGACGCCGGGTGCGGTGGGCAAGCCGCTCGGGCGGTCGAGCAGCGTGAGCGCGGTCACGCGCACGGGCGCGATCAAGCGCGGCCCGGGGAAGCTCAAACTGCCGTCGTTTAGGATGAACTACTCGCTCGACCCGCTCGCGAAGGCTATGGGGTCCCCGGGGCAGACGGGATCCCCCCGGGACGGGTATCATGCACACACCGGTCATCCGCAGGGTTACTACGGGCACGGGAAGGAGGGCCCACCGACGTCGGCGGATACGATGACGAGCGCGGCGGCCATTCGATGGGCAGCGGCGAGGATCTCGGTAGCGCCTTTAGGTACGGCGTGTTCCGCTTCTCCGTTCGATTGTCTCTGTTGCATCAGTCGCTTGTTTTTTTTCCTGACCTCACGCCGATGCTGATCATCGTTATTCATTTTAGTGTTACCCTCGCCCGAGCACGAGCTCACGGATCCCATGCGCGGCGTGACGACGAGCATACCCGGCGCCCACCCGACGGGGCCCAAAACACCTGGCGAACAGCGGCTGAGCAGCATTCCGAGCTTCTGGGTGGGTACGACGGACGTCGAGGATGGAAACTGGGTGGACCAGCGCCGGCTGGAGACGATCGAGGACAATAGCCCGATATCCGTCGGCGCCGAGCGTTCCAGGACGGCGGGGTCCGCGGTAAAAGCCAAGGAAGGGCCGAGCGAGACGACGAAGAGCGTGCCGCCGCCCGCGACGGCGCCACTCCCGCGCATGCCCGTCGACGAGGACGCCTCGCCCGACGACGACTACTTCGGGCCGTCGCCGCGCCGCGGCCCTTCGACGAGGCCCGAGCCTGCCTCGGACCCGGCATCGCCGACGGCTGTGCGGACCGAGCTATCCGGCCCGTCCTCGGCGGGCTCCGCGCCACCGCTCCGGCCGCTTGCGCCCGCCCGCCACGACTCGGAGCCGGCGCCGGATGCGACGGTGGCCTCGGTCCCCGCCGTGCCGCGGCGCGTGGCGCTGACCCGACAGACGTCCTCGCCGCTGCCGTCGCTCGAGACCGTCCCGGCGGTCGTCATACCGGGCATCACGCCCGTGGTAGGGGCAGGCGGCGCCGGGGGGCGAGACGGGAGCAGGCGTGCGGTGAGGGAGAAGCAGATGTTCGAGGCGCTGGGGTACTTGGTCCCGCCGAACGCGCCGGACGAGCTCGAGCGCCGAAGAGCGTTATTCAAGTGCGTGTTCTGCCTTGAGGTGTTGTTATTTTTCTGCCGACGTAGATAAGCTGACCGCGGAGGGTGATGACCAGGTTCAACATCTGGAACACCAGTCCGGACCCGAATTTCGATCGTATTGTTCACCTCGCCAAGTTGGTGTTCAACACGAAGATGGTCGGGATCTCGCTCGTCGACGGCTCCGAGGAGTGCGGCCTTTTCTCCGGCGCGAATACATGCTATCGTCGCTGACGTGCGCTTTTCTTAGGTGGTTCAAGTCTAAAGGTTTGGACAATCCTTCCTTTCTTTCTCCTTTTCATCACAAGTGCTTGTGGACCTGTGCTGACGATGGGTTGTTCCCCTTTTCATGCGCATTGTGAACTTTGGACCTCTGGTTCCATCGTTAGCCGGCTTGCCCGTGTCGAGCTGGAACAGGAGCGAATCGTTGTGCGCTCATGCGATATTGCGGCGGTGAGTATTTGATGTGCCAGGATCGTACGAGCTGCTTGTTGAGTCAATCTCTTGGGTTGTCCGTAGTGGGGAAGAACCGATGGTGGTCCTTGATACGACCAAGGACTGGAGATTCGCAAATAATGTAGGCGTTATCTCTGCGCTTGAATCCCCTGATTGACCTGTGTATAGCCTATGGTCAAAGAGGGGCCTGAGATACGGTTCTACGCCGGAGCACCGTTGCGAACTCAAGATGGGTACAATATTGGATGGTAATTCTACTTCCGTTTTAATCGCGCGAATCACGCTGACCTACTTCAGCTTGTCGGTCTTCGACGATATGCCACGAGGAGAGTTCAGCCCTCGGCAGAGGCACGCGCTTCGCGAATTTGCGGTATGTTTCCGGAATTCGCCTGCGAAGCCCGACCTAGCTCATACGGCCATAGGCTATCGCCATGCGAGAACTCGAGCTCTGGCGCGATAAGATCCAACTTCGTGTCCGAGACCGGATTCAGACTTCCATGGAACAGTTCACTCGCGAGTGCCTGGAGATCGACAACGCGGCTGACGCTGAGGACAAGCAGACGTTCTTCATCGGCACGTCCATGGACAAGGTGTATGCGCACGCGGCCAAGCTCGTCAAGCGCACGCTCGACGTCCAGGGTGCAATAGTCCTTGACGTGGCGCACTCGGACGTGCTTGAGACCGTCAACGCGGAGGGCAGCGTCGGTGTCGTGCTCCACAATGCGGAATCGGGGGATGGGGCGAAGACCGTACACCTCAGCCCGGAGGAGTACGGTACCCTGCAAGAGTTCTTCACGAAGTACCCACAGGGGCGGGTCAGCGAGGGAATCGTCCCGCTTTGCTTGAGGGGCTTTTTGCCGACGCATATACAGTATGCACTAAGTGAGTGTTGATTCCTAGGCCGCATGCCTTTGCTTGCATTTCTGACAGTCTCCTAGCTGTGCCTATACTCAACGTGGACAAGCGGCCGTTCGCGCTACTGTGCGCATATATCGCGACGGAGCAAAATCGACGATATGTGAGTAAAGACGTGTCTTATACACAACCGTGGTGCTCATCGTGTATCAGCTGGAGGGTCATGAGTTATCTTACCTCCGAGCTATTGGCGTGATCATCCTTTCGGCCGTGCTCAAGCGGAGAATGATTCTGGCGGATCGATCAAAGGGCTTATTCATCTCCAAGTACGTGCTTGTGTTGTTCCTCACGACCCACTGCCGCTAATCGCTCATGCAGCATATCGCACGAACTGCGTACTCCGCTACACGGAATCCTGGCCGCTGCAGAACTTCTTTCGGACTCGCCATTGAATCAGAGCCAATTATCGTTCTTATCAACGATCCAAGCTTGCGGAACGTCACTCGTGGAGACTGTCAATCACGTCCTGGATTTCACCAAGCTCAGCGGCAACACCAAGGCAGGTGGCGTTGAAAACGTGATTCCACCGAGCAGGTGCGTGCCACTGGTTCTGGAATAAATCTACCTCCTAAAACCGACGCTTGGATAGAGTCAACTTGATGCAGCTGGTGGAAGAAGCCGTAGAAGGCTGCTGGATCGGGTACCGGGCCAGGATAGACTCGGAGATCGGTAGCGTCTATGCTCCTCCCAAAGATCAGGCGGGTTCGAGTGGATATGAAGCACCCGAGACCGTTGTGGATATCGACGATCGCGATGCTGTGAGCGAGGTTGTCTGAGCCTTTCAGCCCTTATTTTAACACACTTTTCTCAGGGATGGACTGTTAAATGCGAGAAGGGAGGTATCCGACGTGTGTTGATGAACCTTTTCGGAAACAGCCTCAAATTCACAAGCGTATGTTCATGAGGCATGGTTACACTCGCGGCGGTTGCTGATGTGCATTATACAGCGAGGATATGTGCATGTCACCCTACGTGAACTGCCGCCCGAGCCGCGGGACCCACCGACGAAAGTCAGGATGGAGCTCGGAGTGATGGACACGGGCAAGGGTATCAGCCAAAACTTTATGAAGGTACTATCGTGCGATCTTCGGTTGCATGCCAGTGCTCATCAACCTCATAGAACCAACTGTTTCATCCTTTTTCCCAAGAGAACCCGCTGCAGACGGGCACCGGCCTGGGATTGGCTATTGTCAACAGCATCGTCCAGTCAAAAACGCTCGACGGGACGATCGATGTGTCGAGCGTGGAGGGTGTCGGGACGGAGATTCGTGTCACATTCGCGGCAGAATTGGTGGAAGACGACGATGACAAATCGACATCGTCAGTCCCCCTGAGCCCGGTCGAACCGTTCAATTTCGAGGGTCTCCCTGGGCCTCCGAGGGTTTCTCTAATAGGTTTCGACCGATCTCATCGAGGCGTCGAGCTGTTGCGGCAGGTGACCTGCAAGTACCTCTCCTCGTGGGGCTTCAATATCGATTCCGACGACCAGGGAAACGGGGACATCGTGATTGTAAACGACTCTATTCAGCCTATCGTCTTGGCGATCGAACGCAAGGATACCACTCGGTCTTATATCATTCTATGCTCGTCGCGTGGCGACACGTCCCTTATGGGTACCATCGACATGTACGAACGTATAGGCGGGTTCGCACGTTTGGTCTTCAAGCCCGGAGGACCGTCCCGCCTCCGGTCAGCAATCAAGCTATGTATCCACGCTCAGAAGATGATTGCTCGCTCCCGAGATTCTCCTGGGCTCGTTCCTTCGGCCTCCGCTCCCGCATTCAAGCTTCTTGCCGACGAAGGCAATACCAGCTATCTCCCGAGACGGTACTCGGAAGAAACGTGGGCTGAGCGGCCCAATCGCCCTCCATTGGGACCGCGTGCTGTGACCGTGCACCCGCCGTTATCCGATCTCAAGGAATCGTGGCTTGACGATGACACAGCAACACCGAAGCCGACTGAACCTTCCATGCCTCCAAGCCCCGAGCCACGTATCCGATCTGCCTCATTTGGGGACGAAGGCAGCCCTACGCCCGGACGGGACGTCCCGCACTCAATCAATGGACACGATCCCGCTAGCCCCACCACGGTGCCAATCGCTGGCGGAGGTACGCTCCTGAAGTCCGCGATTGGAGCCGCGCACGTCGCGAACTCTGTGCGAGTCTTGGTGGTTGAGGATAACAGTATCCTGCGTAGTCTTTTGTAGGTCGCTTTCCGAACGATTTGTTTCTTCCTCTTACAATTTTGTTCCCTTTTTCCCAGAGTCAAGTGGCTGAAGACCAAGGGATACGAATTTCGTGAAGGCGTCGACGGCAGCGATGGTGTTCGCGTTTTCGAGTCCGAGGGACCGTTCGAGTAAGTCCTTCATCAGAATCGTCCTTCAAGAAGCTGAACTCTATCCACTAGCGTCGTACTCGTCGACCTATCCATGCCGGTGTTGGATGGTAAGTGTTGAGCAGCGGATTTCTGTGAATATGCTCAACGCGCTCTTCTAGGTATCGGAGCGACCGCAGCAATACGCGAGCTAGAGCGGAAGAACGCTGATAGACATGCAGCTCGCATACTTGCCCTGACCGGCATGTCTTCGCTTGAGGACAAGAGGCGTGCTTTCGAGGCTGGAGTCGACGGATAGTACGTGTCGCTTTCCCATTATCACAATTTATCTTTGTGAGACTTACCCTCCGCGTAACGCAGCCTGGTGAAACCGGTCGGCTTCAAGACGTTGGACGAGGTGTTCACAAAACTGGGCATCAATGGACACCACGCCCGTACATGACCCGCATATATGAATGTATCATCGCATCTTTCTGTTTCGCGTGCGCGCAAGCCTCCATCCGCCGTTGTATTTATATCTCATCTCTCATCAATCCGCACGCTTCAGCTGTATGCGCACGTTACTGCATCGATTCATGGGCTGCTGATCTGTATCCTCTAGTTTACACATTCAATATACAGCAAACTAATACACATCGGTCCAGTCTTAAACGTCGACTGGCAACGAGACCCGAACGGCTACGCCGCCCGGTTTTTTTGGGGGAGTTCGCCACCCCCTGATAGGTGGCGTAGTGGTAAAGAAGCGAGTGTGGGTGGGGGAAGGAAGGGGGAGGATGTCCGACGCCTATGCGGGGGATCGCTCAGCCGACTCTTCGCGGTGTCTCCGGAGTAAACGGTCGAGCGCCTCCTTCTGGCCAACCTCGAGCTCGCCCGATTGGATGCCGGAGTGGTATACGCGGAGAAGAGTGTCGACGTCGTCCATCGACTGAGTGCGGACATCCGCGAGCTCCTTGATCTTGGCGGTGACGTCCTTGACCTCGTCATCGGTGAGCTTGAGACCAAGCTGCTCGACACGAGACTTGACGGCGTTCCAGCCGGTAAGGCGGTGACTACGAAGCAGGCAGTTCGAGTCAGTTCTGTCTCTTCCTGAACGATATGGAAAACGTACCCAATCGAGACGTATCTTGTGAGACCGAAGTCTTCAGGCTTGAGGATCTCGTACGTGCTGGGGTTGTTGAGAATCGCCTTGGCGTGGATGCCAGCTTTGTGCGTGAACGCGCAGTAGCCGCTTCACGGGGGGGGGTTCAGTATCGTCTCGTCATCGCGATTGTATGCGCACGTACGTGACGGGGTTCGAAAACGGCACGTTCACCTCGACAGCCTCCGCAACCAAGTTCTCGATCTCTCGGAGCATGGGCAGGTTGTACTTGCCCTTGACGTATTCCGGGTTGGCCGTGTACAAGCAGGAGACCAAGCCGCCGAGAGGGGTGATACCGACACGTTCGCCAATGCCGAGAACGGAGGTATCTATGTGAGTGGCACCGGCTTCGAGCGCGGTATATGCGTTGGCGATCGCTGTGAAGAAGCCGTTTAGACAACATCGAGCAGGACTACATACACACAGTACAAACGTACCCATGCCAGTGTCGTTATGCAAGTGCACCTCAATATCGCACCTGACGACGCCGCGGAGCGTGCGGACGAGGTCGTACACCTGCCGCGGGTTCGCGCAACCGACAGTGTCCGCGATGCCGACACGGTCGACGCCGATCTTGTCAACGGTCTGGTAGATGCTGAGGAGGTCGACGAGGTTGCTCCTGAACGAGTCCTCTGTCGAGAACCGTACTTCGATCGGCTTGCCGTTCCGGCCCTTGCAGTTCTTCACGAAGTTGATGACCTCGATCGCGGTCTTGGTGATGTACGCCATGTCCTTTCCGTGGCTGAACTCGCGGAGGAAGGAGGAGGTGCCGATGACGACGTCGACGCCGTCGACGCCGGTGTTGACCGCGATCCGGGCGTCGTCCATGTGGCACCGGATGTGGGTGAGGATCTTGGCCTTGAGCCCGAGGTTGCAGATCGCCTCGCAGTCGGCGCGCGATTGCTCGGACGCGGCGGGGGAGGTGAGCTCGAGGTATTCGACGCCGAACGCATCGAGGGCGCGCGCGATCGCGATCTTGGTCTTGGTGTCGAAGAAGGCGTTCGCAAACTGCTCCCCCTCTACATTTCATCGAGTCAAGAGAGACGATGAGCGTAAGGGGGGGTCCGCTCGATGACGTCGTTTTTGAGATGGCAACGCACCTCGGAGAGTCGACTCGATGATCTTGAAGTTGCAGACGTTGTTCAGGAAATCGGATGCGCGGGGAGCGTAGGGGTTTAATCGTTGCGCCTCTTGTGACCGTCCGTTCGCCGTGCCGTTCACGCCGTTTGCGTGGGCAGCACCGGCGCCGTTAACCACGCCGGAAGCCTTGACGGCGTCGGACATGTCGATGGCGACCATCTCGGAGTTGCTGGGGACGGCGTCACCGTTGGCGTGAGGGCACATTGCGGTAGTCGAGGAGGGACTGAGGACGGAGGAAAGTTACGGGTACAGTCTAGAAACTTTTTGCATTTTCTGTTCTTGTACGCAGGAAGGTCATGCCTTCATGACTCCATTAATCAGTCACGTGGTAAGCAATTATGTAAACCCTGCTCGCACGTCCTTCCTTTCGGTCTTGTCGTCCGAAAGTACGGCGTCCAATCGTGGTTCGCGTTTTGCGCTGCCATACTCTCGAGTCTCAACGTGCAATGTAGCCTTCACAATACTTACAAGCCGACCGCGGTCCTCATCCTGCTCGGCTCGTACGATTAAAATATTTCCAGAATATAGGGCCCATGAGATTGCAAGTTGCACTTTATGTAATGTAATTGCCATCTGTCCTGAACCCGTACACCCATCCTCGCAAGACATCAGTGAGGACATGCGGATGTCGCCCGCGCGCATGCGTCGACCGCGGTTTGTTCCGGATGGCAGTCTGGATTTCGGACTGATCGGGCACGCAGCAAATGAGTCTCCCATTCGAGTGCGGAAAGTCACGTCAGGGTTGAAAATGCGCACCTCGAATCAGGCGATCACGCATGACGAGGTAATATGAGTGTTGTTGCTGTCTTTCCCAACCGGGATCTGCGTGTCTTTCGAAGACGACCCAGAGGAGTCGGGAAAGAGCGAGGCGAAAGCGTCCATGAAGTATAGATGGTTGTCTGGTGTGCTTGGTGGGTGACTCGAGTTACTTTGTTGTGTGTCTATAGTCTGTCTGCATGCATCTTCTCACTTATAGCGTAGATGGATGCTGTCATGTTCATCCGAGTCGGCTAGGGCAGTATGGAGGCGGAGGATCATATCTGACTGTTCTGCTATCGGTGACTGTCTAGTCCATCCGAGTCGGCGAGGGCAGTAGTATCGCCTTGGGGGACCGCATCATCTGTGCGCACAATCCATCGAGGTAGGGAAATTTCCAATGCGAACGGGACGAATTAGGGAGCCAACCCACACTGTTATTTTTCCATCCAGACAGGAACTCCGAGGGATGGATCAGAAGGCGTGGCGCGTTAACGTTGGGTGACAGCGGGCAGAAGACACCGCCGCGTCGGTTGTGATGGTACTTATGAGCGCGCGAGGCGTCCAAGATGATATGGCCAAGCCGGGAGGCGGATGACTGCAGAAAATACGGTAAGAGATCGAGGGGCGTTGGGGACACGTAGTAGTCAACCGGGAACATACAGTAACACAGTGAGATATACACGTACGTTGCCCTATAGCGTCGAGCGAGCATAAAACTCCGGTGTATGGTCTCGTGCCGAATGACGTCATCATCCATATGTCTTCCCGTCGATCTCAGCCTCGAGGGCTTGGGGAGGCGGTACGGGGAGGAGTCGATCAAGCCTCAGCCGGTCGTTCCGTCATCCTCAGTTAATCCACATAAAAGGACCCGGATCTCGACCGAGAGCGGCCAACGATTTCTACATCATCTCATTGCACGCCTGTCGAAGTCCTGCGCACCCCAGCTAGCGAGAAATCTGTTTACTACGACAGTATGTGCCTGCCTGGGCCCCCGGTGATCATGGGCTCATCTTGGTTTAACTAGCACCCATGGCCATTTTCAAAAACCCGTTTTCGTCGTCCAACAAGGAGCCGTCTGCGTCGAATGAGCCCGAGCGATTCGTCGTGATGCCTATCCCGGACACCCATCAGCCCGTTCCTGGCACATACGAGGCCAACGGTAGCGCGCAGCAGGTGCCCCCAGCGACCACCCAACCCGTCCCAACCCTGATCCCCGCGCACGACAACCCGGTCGTCGCGCCTCGAAGCGAAGACATCGATGCCGTCCCGGAGCCTCCGAAGACGAAGGACGAGAGCACGCCCCTGCCACCCCCTACCACCTCGTCGTTCATCGCCCCTACACGCTCCCCAAAAAAAACAACATCCAAGTCGCCAATCACCGGTAACGAGCCCCTGAGCCGGGACTACTCCCCGGCCTCGAAAGCGGGCTCGATCAGCAGCCCTTCCCGCGACGTCCCCTCCGCCCGCTCTAGGCGCCGCATCGTGGCCCCAGGCGAGAGCAGCGATTCCGAGATCGAAGGCAGCGACGCCCGCGTAACCGCCCTTCGCCGCAACAACAGCTCCAAGAGCGCTAAAAGCCGGCGTTCGAGCGCGCCGTCCGCGCGCCTCGCTGCTGTGTCCGCGTTCAGCGATACCTCGGACGACGACCGCCTCTCTCGATCCCGCTCTTTGGGGCAGCGGCGCTCTCGACGGGCGAGCACGGTTCACACCTCGCGCACGAATGATAGCACGCTGAACGGCGGGACGTTCGCCAACGGTGCCGGCATGATCGGCCCGAACGCCGAACTGGACGAGGAGACGCGCTCGGTGTTCCGGGAGCGTTCGGCGAGCGTGTCGCGCACCCTGAGCCAGAAGCAGCACAAAAAGCTTGCGAAAGAGGAAGGTGAGATACCCTATTCGGACGATCTGTACAATGACGTCGTGACTAAACACACACCACCGGTATAGCCAAAGATGGAAAGAGGCTTTCCAAAATCATCCAGAGGGAGGCGAAGGACGAGAAGAAGGCGCTTGCTATCGCGATGAAGGAGCTTGCAGAGTTGCAGAAGATGCAGGGCTCGGCTATCAAGGTATGTTCTGATGTAGATCATCAACGAGCGATTTCTCTAACGCCTGCGCGCAGGAGGACGAGAAGGCGCACCACGCACATGCTAAGGCTATGAAGGCCGCGCACAAGGAAGAGCTCCAGTGGCTCGAGGCCCAACGTCGGCACGAGCTGATGCAAACCGAGCTACGTATCAAGACAGAGGCGTACGAGTCCAGCCGGCAACACGCGCAGCGGATTACGGAGCTCGTACAAGAGAAGAACCGCGAAGTAGAGCTGTTGAGGCTTCAGAAGGGTGCCGACAACGTGAGTGTTGCAGAGCTTTACAGCGTGAACGTTTCGCTGAACGCGATCTCCTTCATCTAGCGCGAGCGAGAGGCAAGGATTGCGGTATTGAAGGGCAAGGCATGAGAAGCGCCCGCGTGTTCGTCGATCCCCGGTACTGTGGTCTATATCTGTGCTTCAGTAATTTTTTGTATGATAAAGCATTGTATATTAGCAAACAATCTTGAATGTTGAATGTACTAGCAGACAGAACGGGAAAAGCGACCGTGTGGGAAACACAGAAATTAATATCCAGCAAACAATGTCACTTAAAACGCAGAGATGCCAGACAAGCATGGTATGACAGTGGCAACCCTCTCTCATCCCTCGAGCTGTCGATTTACCAAGTCCTCCGAACCGCATGGAGCCGACGTAATATGGCGATGTCTAGATGATCTACTGTCGACGACTGTCTATGGCATCCGGATTGACGCCTTGCGGTACCGCATCATCGACGCGCCGGATCCTTCGAGGCATGGAGATGAATGACTGTGAGCCATCCGAGAGAGTGTCATGACTCTTCCTTGCCTCTCGAACGAAGTGCGCCACAGCGTTGGCTCATGTTTCGCTAGCGGATTCTTGTGCGTGCTATAGGGCAATGTATATATCCCACTGTGTATGTTCCCCGATTGACTACTATGTGTCCCTAACTAACATTCCTCGATCTTTGACCCGTATTCTCCGCAGTCAACCACCTCACTCCTGGGATTTATCATCTTGAACGCCTTGCGCGCTCGTGTTGGCGTCTCCTATCACAACCAACGCTGTGTCGCTCATGGTGCCATCTTGTCGTGGCCGGCTGGTGTGCCGTCTGTCTTCCAACGCCGCGCCCTCTGGTTCATCACTGGGGGTTCCTGCCTGGGCAGATAGAGGTGCATGGGAGGTTGGTCCCCGAATCGTCCCGTTCGTGTTGGAAATCGCGCTCGATATCCCTTCCGATTCCCCCAAGCCCTCTATCGATCCACTTCCTGAAGCGATGGGTGGGCTCTGCGAGCACCAAGCCTTCTCCGCCATCAGGTGTCAGAGGGCGACAACCGAAGTAGTCGTATACATCCTGTACGCTCTTCCAATCTTCCTTCCACAAAACGCTGCGATACAGAAAATGGCGCTCTGGATTGACTTCATCCCCCAAAAGGCCGCGTTGGGAAGCTTCCAAGATGTGCTTTGCAATTTGTTTCATCGGCTCAGGCGCGTGTTTCCTATGAATAGCAAGGAATCGGATCAGAGTCGACCATTCAATCTCGATGCCGGCCGCCGCGGCGCGCCCGTCGGCGACTAATTGAATCCATAACGAAAGGGCGCTGATCAAGCCGTCGGAGAAGCTACCCATCGCTGATCGCCAGAGCCGCATATCGCTTTGCGAGTTTGGGTCGTCGGCGTCGCTCAGGGTGGTATGGACGATGTCATTTACTGCAGACCAGAAGAGACGTCCGTGTCCCTTATCCAAATAAGACAATTGGAGGAGCGGGTACCTAGAAACGAGGTTCAGGTATTCGGTCATATCCTTTGCCCCTGAAATCTAACAATGAGATGGATTAGGAGAAAATGAATGCAAGATCGCGACTCACGCGCTTCGTATCGTTGCCGCGTCGAGCAGTGGAAGAGTATTCGAAGCATGGTGCGGCGAGTCTGAATCCAAGTCGGACGAGTGGCGTTGACATCATGGACAAGACAATAGACTCGTAGAAGGCATGTCCGGAACGGCATTGTCAGTGTCCTATCCACAGTCGAAAGAATATACATCATCCATAGCGAGCTGAGAGGGAGTCTGCCCAAGTTGTCGAACGTGAAGGGCAGCTTGATCAGGAAATCATCCTGTGAACGTGGGAGGTCTCGAACGCCAGACGCAAGTAGACGAAATATAAGATGGATTTGCGCGCGATTGAGAACCATCACGGCATCTCGAATAACCCAAAAACCCGACAGAGGCCGAGTACTATGTCGTCCCTCGACGCCGTCAACCCTCTCTTCTGGGATTACCTTATCCCGAAGATAATCGAGCACAGGAACAGATCCGCCGCATGAATATCCCAGGAGCTCTGATATGGCCATCCAGTACGCACAAAGGCGCTTTGTCGGTGTTTCAGGCCAATCTTTGATGTTCCGCTTAGCAAACGTGCGCCGGAGCCGTGATGTATCCAAGACAGAACGGATATGCACTCGTGGACCCGGAGCATCCGAGACGCATCGAGCGATGGTGCTATCTCCTGGTTCTTCGTGTCCAGCAAGCCACAAGAGCGAGTAACACTGTGATGCGATGCTGCTGAGGACATCGTGCCCGAAGCACGGCAGAGCAAGATCTCTATGCGCCCAGCCATCGAAGGCATACATGTCGGCGTGAGCGGTTTCCGGGGCACCTAAGAACCGTTGAAAAGCATGGAGCCAGTATGGCCAATGAAGCGACCACAGATATGCCTTCACTGCATTTAGGAGAGGGCGAGTTTTTCGTGACACAGACAGGATCATCCATCCCAAAGGCGTCTTGTATGGACACGCATCGAATACAAGGGGCAGTAGTACGGCGAGAACTGCTAAAATGATCGTTATGCCGACGGCGACGCAGCAGACCGCAGAGACAATCGTATTGATGGGCAAGAGAAGCGTAACAAGCCCGCCGAGGAATAAAATGACCGCGACCTGGAGGAGGCCCGGAACCAAGGTCACGATAGCGGGGACTTTCCATCGCTGGAAAGCGTCGTAGCGAAATTTACGGAGCTGGATGGCGTGTTGGACCGGAGAAACAGATGGCCAAGATATGTACTCTCGCAGCCATTGTTTCACGAAAATTCCGAGAAGAGCGGAAGCGAGAGCTAGGATAAGGCTCAGAAACCAGACAGCGTTAATGACAACCGCATTAGAGTCGGCGTGGAACGGAGTAAGGAGTGGGTCTGCAGACGACGACGTGGTTTGGTTCATAGACATATTTTGAAGCTGCATAGATATGTTCGAGAGGAGCTGGACAGTGAGCTGGGTATTGTCCGGTTGCAGCTGCGTATACACCTCGACCAAGAATGCTGTCAGAACGGCGGAAAATAGACCCGCCTACGCCAATGTTCTCGTCAGAAGGAGTTAGAACAGAAAATAAAACGCGTACAAAGATGAGGAGGCTATCGATATCCTCCGAGTAACCTTTGATCATCTCGCGATCATGTTTTTCCAGCCGTCCGTAAACGTATGCCCACCCTATCCCATCTGGGGTCGGATCAGTCTCGACCTGCTATGACGTATTTGTATTTGAGACCAAGTCTGACGAAATTTCCGTTGATCTCATACCTTCAACGTCCGCTTCACCGGGTTCGGACCATCGTCATTAACCCTGGCTTGATCATTTGAACGTGATGGGTCCTAATCTTGATGGGTTTGCGGATGCAAAGGAATGGCGAGTAAGAAGTTGTCACTGACCGTTTGATAGGCTGAGATGTTTTGACCAGGTTCCTCTGTGTCTATTTTTGTGCCAGCGATGCTTGATTTGCGACTTCCCGTGTTAATCGGAATCTGTAATGTTGTTGTCAGCCTGCCATCGAGCAATCCCCTGGTAGTGGTGAGATCAGAATTACCTCCGCTGCCGCTGTGCGCCTTTGTTCTTGGTCTGATACCGCACCAACATCGGGGAATATCTACGCCAACGGTAGATCAATTGCATAGTTGAGACAGATCCTGTGATATTCAGGGTGACAGTGACGATCTCACAGGACGGCTGGTATCTTCAATAGTCTTCAAACCTTCCTCTAAATAAGAAAGTTGTGTTGAACCTTGATGGCCAGACATGAGACTCGGGTATCGTCGAGGGAAGAGACAAGGACGAATGTTATACAGCCTCCGCGATGCAGCATGTCGAACATGGGAACGTTATCTGACTCTGCAATGTCTGCATCAATGCCCGCTTGAATTAGCACACCCAACGACCTGCCTTTTTGGGATCATCCAAGGCAGTCGCTCCCCGGCATTACGCTTGCCGGTGACATGACATGACACCACTTCCTCTCGCGTGCCGAAGGCGCGCCTTAGGGTCAGGTATCAAATTGTCCTTGGCCCTACGTCCGCGCGGAGCTTACCTACTTGCAGGCTAAGAGGGATGTACCTCTGACCGTCTCGAATCATTGAGTCCCGACAGCAGAGCAATTATGATCCGCCTACTGTCATCCCTCACCCACCGAGCCCTATACCGCAAGTTCTAGACTATGTCGTGCACAGTCATATGTGAACTTGACCATGATCTCTCCGCGAAAACCCCAAATTTAACCTAGAACTCGACCTCGAAGGCTGCTGGCTCTACTGGGCTTATGATATGGCTTTTAACGAGCACTCCCCTCGTTTAAGCTCGTTCACTCCATGCTAATCGCCAGAATGAGCATCTACGTTCCAGGAGTCTTTTTCCTCCCCCCTTCCTCCACCTCGTTCTCGGTCGTCATTCTAACCCACCACCTTTGACAAGTCGTTATCCAGTGTGCTTGATTTAGATACCACAGCAGAGGTCCATTCGCCTTCAGTATGTTGACGTTTGGCCAAAACATTCTCCTATTCATCCCCAAAAATCTGTTCCCGATACGTTGATACCCCGATGTAGGACTCCGCCGACATCCCTCCAACAGTGTGTGGCTTCGTCGTATGAGCCGCATCTTGTAAAGGTACCGCAACGACAGATAATGTGCCTAATCCGTAGTCTTCACCGCCGACGTTCCCTGTTGCGCCATCGGTGGCTCTGTCCGGACTACAACATCCGTCACGCCTTCTGTTTCCTCCGAGTGGAATGGTTCCTCTCGGGGATGTGGCAATGTCATTGCGTCTCCATCTCCAGCCGATGAAATGGGAACCAGGGGGAAAGGCGTGCGAGGTCAAGGTACGGAACTCTCTCTGTCATTAGGTATACACGGGCGAACCTCGAAGTAATCGTAAACGTCTTGCGCGCCTTGCCAGCTCTGTCCCCAATAGTAATCATAGGCCATAAATCCACTCTCAACTTCGTCTCCGGAAAAGCCGTGCTGACGAGCCATCAATACGTGCTTTGCAATCCCTCTCGACGGTTCACGGGAAATCCGGTGATTGAATCCCAAGAAACAACCAAGCATTTTGAAGTTTGGGCCGTTCTCTGAAGCACGAAGTTCGGAGTCGAATGCGCACTATATCGAAACAGCTTCAACGAGGCTTCCCGCGAAGCTGTCCATAGCCGGGCACCAGTGCCACTGCCACGTAGGGACTTCCGGGCCTGGGTGATCCAATTCGTCCACTTCGGTGAATGCGATGCCGATGGCGTTCGTTACAGCTTCCCAAAAGATAGAACGGTGCACTTTGTCCAACCAAAAAAGGCACCATCGAAACATCGAGATGTCAGATAGAGATTATACGTTGCCTCTTTCATCGCTTCAAAGTTGGATTGCATAGTCTTCTGCACACGGGCAAAATCATCCATCCTAAAGGCGTTTTGTATGGATACGTGTCAAATACAAGGGGTGATAGCACGGCGAGGAATGCTGAGATCATGGTTGCGCCAACGGCAGCACAACACAGTGAAGATACGATGGTGTTGATCGGCCACAGCAACATAATGAATCCGCGGAAGAACAGGACGACCGTGAGCTAGAAAAGGCCGGGCACCAGGGTCACGATAGCAGGAACTTTCCATCGCTGGAAGGCATCGTAGCGAAATTTGCGAAGCTGGATGGCATGTTGCACCGGTGAGACGGATGGCCATGAGATGTATTCGCGCAGCCATTGTTTGACGAAAATGCTGAGGAGAGCGGAAGCGAGGGCAAGAACGAGGCTAAGAACCCAGACAGTGTTGACCGCAACCACGTTAGAGGATGCCCGGAAAGGATGAGTTCAAAGGATCCGCCGTTGCAGGAGCGGCTTGATGCAATGAAATCTGCTGGAGCTGAAGCGAGATATACGAAAGGAGCTGCACTGAAATCTGCGCATTATCCGGCTGCAATTGAGTGTACACCTCCAGTAGGAAAGCCGTAAGAACGGCGGAGAACAAACCCGCCTGTGGCGTGTTCGTTCGTCAGGAAGTGACATGACGACGAAAGCGATCGCGTACAAAGATGAGGAGGCTGTCGATGTCCTCCGAATAACCTTTGATCATCTCGCGGTCACGTTTTTCTAGCCGTGCGTAAACGTATTCCCAACCTGTGCCGTCTGACGCTGAGCCGATCGGGTCCTATCGTGGATACCCAGGGTGAGCGCAAGTTCGATATGAGGCTATCACCAATGTTGAATCCCGTACCGTTGTCGTCATGTGGTTCTGATTCGCGTTTTCGTCGTCCTCGTTACGATATATGCCCTTGAATGACGAGCCAGAGATTGTTGGTCTCTCTGAGTCTCTTCGAAAGGGTACCTCGCTACTACCATCTGGAACAAACCTGGCTCTTCTGCCCGATTCCAGCGGGATCTAGTGCATGATGAATATCAGCTGTCGCTGAGTAGTACACCTTCGACCGACCTGCGTTTCCGCCGGCCTCCCATCTTGGCGTGGCGGCATCCTAACCGATAGATCTTTGTACTATAACAGTCCGGAGGACCGATCATCAGATTGCAAACGGGCGGGTTTGGGTGAAACAAAAGGGAGATCTTACAGGGCGAGGGATCTGCTCTTCTTCCATGTCGGACAACTCGATGGAGGCTTGTTGGTGCGATGTTTCGTTGGCTGTCGTGGTCAACGGCAAAGACAAGACCGACTGCTGTGCAGAAGCGTCGACTGATAGCTTGTTGAACGTGGGAGGATATTGATACCGAATAAGCGCCCGCCGCTTTGGGATTACAATGCGCGCTCTGATTTGCCCATTTCGCCCGGAGCTTGCAAGGGGTTGTACGTGACAGAGCATGTCAGCCGTAGCACCTCAGTGCCTGGCCAGCCGCGGTTCCTGCAGTACAACGCTTTCTCAGAAATGTTTCCATCGCGTTCTCCTAGGGCCGAGTTCATGTTCCTTCGAATTCTAGTGGGTAACGTGAAGGTTGGACAGACGTCCTGGACCTGGCGCAAGTTCACGCTCGACTCGTCTTCATGAGGTAAGCTTCACAGTCGAAACATGTTTCCGAGCAAAAGCCAAGAAAGACGATGATATATAGCGGGATTACAAGGGAAAATGCGCATAGGGTTCACTGTTTGACGTAGAATTCGTACTGCTGGAACATCCACACGAGGGAAACAGCTGCCCAACGCTCGAATCAGTATAAGACGGCACATTTCAGATCTTTCTATACGCACTGGAGACGATGCAGGGCATGATGATTCCTGCGTTGGGCTTCGCTGTGCCATAAATGAAAAGCTCGGATGTGAAGTGACCGAACGCAATGAGGTAGGTGAAGAGCGTCATGTCGTATATCCTACAGAATAGTATGTTAAGTAGAAGCGGGAGAAGATCATGCCGCAGATGTTCACGCACGGTTTGTTAGATATGTGGTACGCAGCGTAGAATCGCACGACGGCCGCCGTAAGGGTCCATACGGCGAAGGTTCGTGCTTGGAGTGCAGTGACTGGCGTGCTGCCGTTTGAGTAACGCAGCTACCACAGAAGCCCAAGTGCAACTGACCTGCAGGAGCTTGGTTATATAGTCTCCGCGTGAGCTTCAAGGTCGCGAAGTTTTGCACAGTGTTGAACACCGCAGCGGCAGCAACCACAAGCTGCCATTTCGGCAGAAGTCCATCGGTTTGCGGGAGGTCTATCCGTGGGGTTTGTTACAATCGATACAATGCCACGCAGCATAACATACTCACAGGACAACAAGGAGGAGGCCATGGCGCGCAGCAAGAACGCGCCGTGCCACGCCCGCACGTCGCCCGAAGTCGCGCCGACGTACATACGCACGTGATGACGCGTGCAGCCATTGCCGCAGCCGAGCGCGTGTCCGAGCGGGTACAGCTTGTGGGGATTCGCCTTGTACTCCTCCCACTTCCATCCCCACAGGTAGCGCTGGGACTCAACCGCACAGCCGACCCGACTTGTAGGTGAGCAAAAATTATAGACCCAGGAGTCGCCATATTGATGGAGTAATCGTCGCTCGGCATGTAGTGCTCACTAATAGTGAGCCTCGAGTTGGATTGACATGGACCGACCTCCATTGCCTCCATATTCATGGCATCAGGTGAGTTTTGGCTTTGCAATAGTGTATAGTGCTACGTTGCTGACTGCATATGTAGTCTCATGACCAGGTGAATACCCCTTCATCATGACTCGTCCAAGAATTGTATTCATCATGACAATAACAGGCTACGGTCCTGCTTCACGTACCCTACGACACCGCGGACGAAGATGTAGACGTTGTGATTGAGCGTGATAACCTCGTGGCAGGTGTTCGTGGACAGCCTCCTGTAATCAAGGCGAGTATATTCACAGTTCTTCCTTACATCTCAACTGATGGGCACCAATACAGGGTAAACTGTACGGCAACGTCGACGTCTCCCGATCCGTGTGGCAACTGGAGTCGCGCACCTCCCGTCACCTCGCGCGAGAACGCACCATATCGTCGGTCTCCACCACGTCTACTCAGTCCTCCTTCGCGTACGTCTCCGACGTCGATATCTCGAGCAGCTTCGCCGCCTCGCTCGAGAGCACCCAAGCGTCCGACTCAGAGGATCCGACCCCGCTCTCCTCACGCTTCCCATCGGGCGAAGAGATAGCTAGCTTACGCACCCTTCGCCGACAAGACACACAACCGCTCTCTCGCTCCATGTCCCCTCATGACGCCACCATGTTCAGCATCCCTTCCTCCTTCTCCTCCTCGCTCGAATCCCTCCCATCTCCCTCCTCCAGGCGCCTGCTGACCCTTCACCTGGAGAAAGCCGACCCAAGCGGCTTTTGGCCATCCCTCGTCACCGGCCCTGTACCGCTCTCTCTATCCCCCTCCCCCGACGGCGACGAAGAATACAACATGGACTCGACCAGCCTCACCCTCCTCGCCGCCGAACTGCAAGATATCCGTAAGGACAAAGAAGGCGCCTTCGAGATGTTCGTCCGCGCCTGGCGGCGGGATCGCACGCCCTCCGCCGCCCTCCGCCTCGCGCCCTACTTCGCCTCCGTCGGCCTGCCCCCTCCCAAACCGTCCTCCACCCGCGGCTCCCCCGGCTATCACCTCGCCCGCCTCGGCGGCCCCACCGCACTCGCGCACCTCCTTCTCCAGGTCGGCCTGCTCCACCTCGAAGGCGCCGCGCCCGACCTATCCGCCTCGCACTCCGGCCTCTCCTCGTTGCGCATCCCGACGCCCTCCTCGTCCTACTCCGCCCCCGGAAACGGACAAGAAACCTGGCGGCGCGACCGCGAGCTCGCCGCGCGCTACTTCGACCGCGCCCGCGCCTTATGCCCCGAGCTCGACGTGCCCGTCATCCAGCACGAGCCGCACGCTTCGACACCCTCCGGCTCCGAGCTCCTCATGCCCTCGATCGAGCTCCCCCCGCCGGTCAGATCGGAGACGGCCCGGAAACGCAAGGTCGAGCAGGCGTCGAACGTGTCCGTGGTGAGCAAGGCGACGGCGTCACCCGCAACCGAGGACATCGACAGCACCTGGTACCTGTACATCCCGGGCCTCGTCGGCGCCGGGTTCGCGGTCGCGGTCGTCGGCATGCTCAGCTTCTCGTCGTGGTCCAAAAGCCGCCAGGCGTCGTGACGCCTCGCCTATCCATAGCCTCCTCTCTCTCTCTTCCTTCCGGTTCATCACATCTCGGTGTTTTCGGATGGTACTCAGGTTCTTCTCCCTCGCTGTCGTCGTGCACATAGATGCTTTCCTTTGCTTTTTTTTTTTCGGTTGTCAGCGGCCGTACTTGTATCCATATATATGCAGATCGTCGATGTTGTTGGTATAGAGAGGCTGTAAGTTACAGGGTAATGAGAGGGCATCTGGTTAAAAGACCAGCGTTGGTGTGGTGACGAACAACATCGGTGCAATGAATGAATAAAGCGATGCGTGTGGTAAAAGCTGGAATGAAGGGACGGCGCACTGCACATCCGCGAACTAGCTACAGCAGCAGCAACGTAAAAACCGAGAAGAGCAGACGAGAAAGGAGATGAGTCTACCTAAGAGTGTATCACCTCGGCCTCCAAGATAACTTGATCAGTCATGTACATCTACGCGAGGGAGAGGAAGATAGGAGAGGGAAGATGGTTGGGAGGGTATATCCGGGGCAACGACCGCGAGGAGGGAGCAAGCGCTATGGAGCCATCCCTCATTCGTGCCCTTGATGCGAGCCCGTCGAATGCGTCGTGGTGATCCTCTTGATCGCGGTCCGTTCGGCCTCCATGTGCTGCTGCAGCATACCCTCCAACCTCCTTATCGACGGGCTCGGCGCCAACTTCGACCGGTTCGACCGCGCGCTGTCGGCAGACTGGCGCGTCTGCGCTTGCGCCGGGGCCGTCTCGGCGAACGGAGCTTCCGCCGGCTGTCGCTGTCGCTGCTGCTGCAGGACGATCGCGGGCGCGGGCGCGATCTGTTCCTTCCGACGGGAGAAGAACGTCGGCTTGGGCGGGACGTTGCCCACAGGTCGACGCCTCTCGCGCTCCGCGTCCGCCGACGCGCGGCTCCCGCCCCCGCCGCTGCTCGCGGTCGCGAAGCTGACGCGCGACACGTGCGGCGACGAATGGTTGCCGAGCCGCATAAACGACGAGGGCTGTGGCCGCGACCGCGACGACGACGACGCGATCGAGATCGTCCGCGTCCGCGCGTCGCCGTACACCGACCCCCCCGCCACGCTGCTCGCGCCCGTGCCCACGTCGGCTACCGCGTTCTCGTCTTCTTCGCCCTCGCTCTCCGAGGAGGTGTCCAGTTCGTCGAGCGCGTTCGGCCGCGCCTCGATGCTGTCGAAGAAGTCGGCCGGACTCGCCGGCGGCGGCGCGGAGTGGATCGCGGGCGACTCGTACCGTCCGGCGAGGATGGGCGCGAGGGAGATCGCGGCGAGATCCGGGCGAGAACGACGCGCCGCGATCGAGCGCGGCATCGAGGACGACGACGCGGACGAGGACGGCGCCGTCTGCGGCGTTTCCGGGAAAGGCGGCGTAGCCGGTTCTGGTGCGAGGATTTCCGGAATGGGCGTGGGCACGGGAGAGGGGGCGCGGGAGGTGGGAAAAAGGGAATGGTAGGACGAATTAGGGAGCGAGTGCGACGACCCGGCCGCCGGTGTGGCGTCGGCGGTGTTCGGCCGACGGGTCAAATAAGGCGAGAGCGAGGCGCTGGCCGTGGTCGGTGACGGCGCGGTACGCGCGGTGTCGGCCCGCCTGCGCGGAGCGGGGGAGAGCGTCGGCACGCGGTCTAGCGCGGAGGACGTGCGCGGTGGCGGGGACACGACGTAGTAGCGCGCTGCGTCCTGAGCGACCTGCGCGAGCGCTTCTGCGGCCCCGCCCGCGCCGGGGGCGTCCCATGCGTGCCCTTCCGGTATCGCATCCCTGAAGGCGGACACCGTCGGCGACGGCTGTGAGTACTCGCTCATGGACAGGGACGGCCTCGGGAGGTCATGCTCGGAGGGCGACAGGGAGACCGAGACCGACGGCCGGCCCGGCAACGCCGCCTCCGAGTTGAACGCGGTGACGTACGGCGCGTCGCTCTCGCTCGCGTCCGTTTCTGAGTATATCACGCTGTTCGTCGCCGTCCGGAACGCGTCGCTGTGCGAGGGCATGGGCGAGGGCGACGTTCTCGTCCGTCGAGGCAGCGGCGGCGTATCCATCCACGACCTTCTTCCCCGTTCCCGCTCCTGCGAGCTCGCGGACAGCAGAGGCGTCGACGCCGTCTTCCTCAGCTGGCCGCCGACCGACAATTGCGACGAGCTGCGCGACGCGTCCGCCTCCCCACGCGGCGAACCGGAGCTCAGGTCCGTCTGCGAGTGCGAGTGCTGCGGGCTGCTAAACAGCGTAAGCAGGCCCTGCCCCTGCCCCTGCCCCTTCCGGGGCGGCGGCGCGAGCGGTGTCGACGGGCCCGCAGGGGTCTCAGACCTCTGCGGCGCGTACAGGGACGAGCGCAGCGTCTGCGTCTGCAGCGGTGACAGGTGCGCGCGGTCCCGCTTCTGCTCCTTGTAGCCGTGGCGAGGCGAGGGGGGCGTCGCCGGCGGCTTCGCGTGCGGCACCTCGGGTATGCTGTCCATCCGGGGCAAGTCGATGATCCGCTGGTCGAGCTTCTCCACGGCGTGTCCGTGTCCGGATCCCGAGGCCAGCGACGGCGACTGCGGCCCCCGCGACGATGGGCCCGGACTGGGCGGCACGGACGACGACGAGGAAGACTTCATGCGCCGGTGCGAGCTCGCGGACGAGGAGTCCGGGCCGCTGAGCGAGAGCTGCACGGCCTCGTGCAGCAGCGCCTTGCGCCACCCACCCTCGTCGGCTTTCTGCTTTTGCCGCTCGCGGAAGGATTCGTCCGTCGACCACACCCCAGGTGTCCCCGGCGGCAGGCGCTCCGCCAATACGGCGGCGCCGACGCTCTCGCCGACGCCGAGACCATGCAACGCAGAGGTCTGCACGGCGAAGGGGTAGCCCGGGCCGGGCAGCGGGAGATCGACGACGTCCGTGGGGTCGACGAACGCGCCCGGGGAGGAGGCAGGATCCGCGTTCGACTCGGACGGGGCAGCGGCGGGCGGTGGTTGGGCGTCTTTACGCGCTTTGAGATCGCGTTCGGACTGTTTGGCGGCGAGGCGGAGGTCGTCCATCTTCTCACGAACGACGACGACGCGCGTGGGAGCAGGGAGGGGTGGTATGGGCGTCGAGGCGACAGCTTTGCCAGCCTGCGGGGCCGGGCGCGGGACGTGGCCAGAGGCGGTGGAAGAGTCCGACGTGGTGCGCAGAACCGGGGGTGGCTGCTCGATGCCGGGGCTGCCCGTGGGCGTGCCGGGTTTGGACGACTTTCCCCTACCGACGCGGAAGAGGTCGAGGAAGCCGGGCGATTTTTTGGTGGTGTCGGGGTGCGCGGAGGTGGGTGTCGTCGTGGGAGGGAGGAAGTCGGCGGGGGAGGGCTTGGCGTGCGCGGGCGGGAGGAAGTAGCTGTTCTTGACGAGGAGCTGGAGGCGGTAGGCGATGTCGTCCACGTCGCCCTCGACCGACTTGGTGCCCATGTCGGCTATTGCGGGGAGGCGGCGATCGTGTTCGAGCTCGTGTTCTTCGATTGTGGTGGGCGAGGCGAGCCCAGAGCGCGAAAAGGCGGAGGAGAGCGGGTAAAGCGAGGATGATGTGCCCGTCTGCGCTGTCTCGTCAGAATTGATTCGCGCGTGTCGAAGAGGTCCTGGTCCGATGATATGGACAGGTGTAGGCAGGCTCGGTATAGAAGACGAAGCGGAGGACGAGCCGCCGTCACGTGTGCCTGTACGTGAAGGTAGACGGGGGAGGCTTACGCCGCGCTTTGCAGCCTGTAGAGGTGTATTAGTATCCAGTAGTATTGCGGTTGCTACGATAATACGGTATCGACGCAGCGGAGGGGAGGGTGCGAAGAAGAGACGGATATGAAGAAGATACGCACCACGCTCGACTCCGATACGCTACCGAGCGCGAACGCCCGGCCGCGCGGGCTGTCCGGATCCTCCACCGGTGCTGATGAAGGTGGCCTTTGACCGTATCCCTGCGCAGCCCCACGCATGGGCGAGCGCTCCGGACGAACGGGAGGATGCCCCGCCCGCGCCCGCTGCACGATATCGAGCAGCTCGCCGAAAGCGGCTAAAGACTCCGCCTTGGCGCTCGCGGACGGCGTTCTGGCTGGGACCACCGGGACGTTGTCGGGCGCGCCCGTGCGTCCCCTGCCAGGCGAGCTGAGCGTCTGCCCGCGCGACCGGGCGCGTGTTCGCGTGGCGGCGCGGCGGACGAGGGAAACTTCGCTGGTGGTGCTGGCCGTCGGCGAGGGCGGCTCGGGTGCCGCTAGATTCGGCGTCGTGGGTGTGCGAGCCAGGGGAGAGGGGGCAGCGGCGGGTGAGGAGGTCATCGTCGTCGGACCATGCGACGAGCGGCGGGGCGGCGGGCGACGACGAAAGGGCCGAAGGGGAGCGGGGAAAGTCAAGAGGAAAGTAAGACCGTGGGAACGGCATCAGACGCCGATCCACGTGCCATAAAAGGGAACTACTGCCGCATTAGGACCGGCTTTCAATTGGGCTCTGACCGTGGAAGGAACGGACTGATCGTGCGAAGCGGGAATGGCGATGCCGTTTCTGATGCGGCCAGGGTTCTTCCTTCACTTGGTCCCTCCAACGTCGCCGCTTCCTTCTTCGCGGAGGTTACGTACAGCAAATACGAAGCACGGCGGGATGACACGCTCCTGGGCTCCGCTGGCCAACAATGAGGCCGAGACTCGACCACGGCCGCGCGCCCTCGTCGTCCTCAACCAACCGTTCTCGATCGGCCTGCTCGACCGCCTCTGGTCATCTGCCCAATGGCGATGTTGTGCCGACGGCGGCGCCAACCGCCTCCATGACCTCCTTCTCCGCTCTGCTCCCGCCGCCGTCGACGATCGAGCCCCCGGATCCGACGCGCGGGCGTCGTAAGTTGACCCTGCACATTCATCCGTCCGAGCCAGCGTGGCTGACGGGATACAGCGACGCAGGTACATCCCCGATCTCGTCAAAGGCGACTTCGACTCGCTCCGGGACGACGTCAAGGCGTACTACACGTCGCAGGTGCGCCGCGTGTCGCATTGCCCTCCGATTGGTCGACGCAAACTTCTCGAACGGCGGGATCTAGGGCGCGAGCGTCGTTCACGATGAAGACCAGTACTCGACGGATCTCATGAAATGCGTGCATGCCCTAGAAGAGAAGGAGAAGAGCGAAGGCGTCCAGGTGTGCAGATTGTGCCTCTTCCAGTGCTATCCTCTCTTTTAAGCCCAGTCGTTCAGTACGAGCTCATCCTCCTCGGCGGGCTCTCCGGCCGCCTCGACCAAACCGTACACACCCTACATTACCTTCACAAAATGCGCAAGTCCCGCGACACGGTGTACGCTTTCACGGACGATAACGTCGGCTGGGTCCTCGACGAGGTAAACATCGACCGATATTCCATCCATCGACGATAATAACGCTATCGCAGGGCGACCACGAGATACACGTAGACCAGACCCTCTTCGGCCCCACTTGCGGTCTACTCCCGGTCGGCATAGAGACGACCACGCTCACGACGCGGGGATTACGGTGGGACATCGGTGCGTGCTCTTCTCCTTCGGCGCTTCTATCCACTTCTATACCCCTTCGTACCCTTCACCCCTTCCTCCCTCCACCATCGTCCTCTTTACTCTCTTTTCCACCCATCGATGTCGACTGACGCACTCGCGTCCTTGGTCAGAGAACTGGGAATCGTCGTTCGACACGCGCATCTCGACCTCGAACCAGTTCGTCCCCGGACAGGACGTCGTCCGCGTCAGCACCACGCGCCCGATCTGGTGGTGCATGGAGATCCGCGCGTCGGGGCTGTAGGAGTCGCTTAGAAAAAATCTGTCACGGTCCCCCTGCCGGATGATCAGCCCTCTATGAAGGCGCGAGAGCCAGAGGTCTGTAGGTTTGTTGAACCCCTGCGCATCTATACACGCCCGATTACAACCCGCGCCTGCTCTAGATTAACGTGCATCCGACCGTACCTCTGCATAGAGCTAGAAACCATGTCGCACGTGTCCGATCCTCCAGAAATGACAAATTGTTCCCCGATGATACGAGGAAAACACGCATCGCGTACCAGCAGGGATTGCGCATCTCCCGAAAGATTAAACCGCAAGCCTCAAAACCCCCTTCTGGTTACATTCTCTTCTTCCTTCTTAGCTGGGTCCGACGCTCTCATAACGTTGTGCAGGTGCGCCGATAAGCATGCTGCCGTACGCTGACGGTGATTGACCTAGCTGATTGGCACGGTCATAGGTGAGAAACGCCTTGGCGCCGTCCCAGAGAGGCCTACAAGCATCCCTGCGACTTGTCGTTTGAAACAGTTTGTCGATCTTCAACGCGTGTGTCAAGGTTTCAAGCGGTCCTCGCGGGCGTGACAATATCGAGGGATCAGGTAATGAGAGCGCTTCCGGCGCACCGCGAGACGGTCCAGAGGTAAGAGTCAAATCAACGATCGATATGGGCAGCGTCTAATCCTCCATCAGCAGTCGATTCCCGCGATGGGTTCTGGCGGTAGAAGACAGGAGGCCATCAACGATGACGAAGAGATCGCACTGGAAGGTGATCCTCAGGCGAAGGTACGGTTTTAAATATGACGTGTCTCCGACGACGTACGGAGATGCCGTCTCCGTGTCAGCCTCCACAGGGTCGACCCGCGTCAGAGAGTGCAGCCTGGGACTATGTATACGGACTACTGGAGAAACACGATAGAGAGATGATCAAGCAATACTCGGAAAGTATTGACAACCTGCTCATATTCGTATGTGATTCCTGGCTCCATGTGCGTCACGGTCTCTTCTGACATCAGGCACATGCCGATTAGGCCAGTTTATTTTCTGCGGTCCTCTCGACGTTCCTATTTGAAGCCTACGACAACAATCGACTCACTGTTCAACTGCTCTACAACGAACCGCTGCAACTCCAGCAGATGTCGACGAGTCAGATTGCACCTGCGTCTTTCGATCCTCTCAGTGCTCTGTTCCGAGTCAACTCTAAACTTGGACGAGGTCAACGTCGTCTGGCTCCTAAGCCTCACCCTCACCGTCTCTTCCTCTCTGTTCGGAATTTTCGCGAAACAGTCGCTACGCGAGTATCTGACATGGTCTTCCATCTCACCTGTGCAGCACGCTATCCAGCTGCGAACGATCCGCTACGATGCCTTCCTGCTGTGGAAGGTCCCCGTAATCGTATACAAATCGCCGTCGTTCTATTCTTCGCGAGGCTTGTCATCCTGCCATGGCCGATCATCACCGCCGTTTCTGAATCACTCTGCATCGCCTCCGGGGTTACCATGGTCTTAGCCGTCCTTGCGGAGCCACTTCCTCTCATCTACGATGCCTGTGCATATATGACCTCCTTTGGATGAATGATATATCCTCTGAATCGAATATGGTATCGATCTACCCGAAAATCCATGTTTTTCCTGAAAGAACGCTTGCAACTTCACCGTCACAATGTGGACCGGCTAGGACGACTACCATTGGGTATACCACATTGGACACGGCTTGTCATCAACTTCATCCACCGTCATGCATCCCCTGATGTCGATCAGTACGCCTATGACAGCTGGGCGCCTCGCTATTCCCTGTCTTTATGCCTGGCCTGTCACGACGTGAGGGAATTCCGAGGAATGCTATACATCCACACGCAGACGGCATCAGATACATCAACATTTGTCATGATCAGCCATACAGAAAGGCTCAAATCGTCCATCACTGCATGTTTGCATCTGCAACGAGGCCATTGAATGATCTAGTGAGGGCGTGTCAATTTCCATGCTGCAAGGTAGTAGCTTTACTCACAGCACGGTGTCCAACAAGCAGCCGCGAATGACTTCGTGTGCACGTCGAAGGCGCGTTTACACTGAGATATCTTTTCACTGTGACCCAGACGCGATATTATGTTCCCATACCTGAGCGGTTTGAACAGCTTCGCCCTCATTGCTGTGCCAGCTCCCATCTGCCTCACGGTCAACAACTCCGAGGACTCCGGGCCGGCATATCATATTCACCGCTGCTGAGCACCAGTACGTATACCAGTACAGGCCGCTGGATGGGGGGACGCACACACTACACCCGTCGACCGTCATTGCATGGCCCCCCTTCTGTCATCCCTGAGGCTTCGCTCGTCGCGGGGTCACCCTCTGCCCGCGTCCGAGCCGGCACGCACGACGCGCTACCTCCCATCAGAACTCGTCGTTGAGATTCTCACTCACGCCTACGGCATCACCGAACGCCTACCGACGTCCTTCTCCGACTGGCCGGCCGTCTACCGCCAGAAGGCTCTCCTCCCCCCGCTCCTCGTCTGCAGGGCGTGGTATGACGGGGGAGTCGCCCTGCTCTACCGCACGCCGTACCTTCCCTCTGTACGTTCTCTGCAGCGATTCGCCCGGACCCTTTCCCGTCACCCCGACTTGGCCCGCATCGTACGCGGGCTGGTGCTCGGCCGCGGTCTGCCCCCTCCTCGCTTCACCCGCACCCTCGCGTCCCGCCTGCGAGGCCGCGCAGACAACCAGCAGGAACGAGCTGAGGCAGAACGCAAAGGATGGCTGCACGCGATCTTCGCAGCTTGCGAGAACGTCAACGAGGTGTGCTTTCTGTCGATGCACGACGCGGACTACCTGCCCGCTGCGCTGAAGGTGAAAGGAGGGCCCCATGTCATCCCCCTTCGTCGGCTGACGCTGCTGGACGGAGACAACATCGTCTTGTACCAGCCCATTCCGTTCGTCGGCATCGCACCCGGTCGACCGCGCGCCACGCCCAAGACTGGCCTCATTCTGGAGATGAGCAAGCTTGAGGAGCTCAATATAGCCTCGTGTCGCGTCTACGACCACGACGAGACCGTGTCGCATCCATTCCTACGTATCGTGCGGGTCAGCCACACGATGCTGTTGTCTCCAAAACCAATCCTGGTCATACCACCGTACGAACGGGCACAGGGACTGGTTGCAATCGACCTTAGGGAGAACGGCGGTTCAGGATATCCAGCGCAGTGCACAGAGTGCATTCAGTCACACGCGGGAAATCTCCAAGAGCTCACCTTAATCGGGTGGGACGAGCTCGTCATATTTCAATCCTTGAAGCTCGAGGCATTCCACCACCTCTGGCGCCTCGCTATTGGCTATCTGGAGGCTGATCATTCCGGTTTTGAGCAGCTCGACTGCATTCCGCCCTCGGTGCAGCTACTCGTCGCGCATTGGCAGAATAATCGGAGTGCTCTCTGTTTTCGCCATGCCGAGTTCATGATAACCTTCCTGAAAAGCGACGCAGAGATACATCAGAGCCGTCGAGCGGGGAAGCGCATGTCCGTCAGGGTACTCGGTCGGGCGCCCGAAGCTCTCCAGAAATTGTGTGGGGGGTGGACGATTGATCTCTTGGAGTGCAATGACGGAGGTGCGTTTGGTCTACTTCTCTCGTCGTGTAGCATCTCACCATGATGATACTGATGTCGAATGGTTGGAAGATGACTTCCAACTATTTCATGGTGAAAAGCGCGAGCAATTGCGAGCGGTAGTATCTCTGGGATTCACTTGTGTAGTCGTCCAATATTGACCGCGTCGAGTCCGACAGCCACATTGAACTTTCACTCAAGTGATTCCAGCGCATCGTTGCAGTATTACGCCTGAAGTGATTGCACTGGCCAAGCTACCGGGTGCACTTGGTAAGGGCAGAGGAACTGAGAAAGCCGACGAGCTCTCGGCCTCCCCGGGCTGACTGTGTAGAGTACACGAGCCACATGATATCAGCCTGCCGCCCGCTGACGCGCTGACGGCTTGACCAGGGCGCTGACCAACTTCAGGGCGCGCGGTGCCGATGCCGGTGCACTTCGCAGACGCCCGTACCAATATCCTTTCGTCAGCCGAGTAGATCCAGGAACTGGTCTTACAGCGCCTGCGATGGCCAACTCAGAAATGCGTAGCGTGGTGTTCACCATAAAAGATGTGAACGAGAGCGTCGAGAGTCATCCAACAACCGAGCAATCAGCTCCTCACCGCACATTCCCAACATCGAACAGCACAAATGGCTTCCAAAGTCGCAGTCGCAGGTGTAAGTGCGATTCATCATATCTCCGTGTTTCAGCGAGGGATCTAACGCCCATCCCATAGGCCACCGGTAACATCGGCCTGCCCGTCGTCCAGCAGCTCGTCGCGGCCAAGTTCGACGTCGTCGTCCTCTCGCGCTCCGACAACCCCTCCGGCCTCCCCGCGGGCGTCACCGTCCGCAAGGTCGACTACGATTCGGTCGAGTCGCTTACCGCCGCGCTCCATGGCGTCGACGCCGTCGTGTCCGCCGTCGCCTCCGCCGCGCTCGCAGGTCAGACCAAGATCATCGACGCCGCCGTCGCCGCGGGCGTAAAGCGCTTCCTCCCCTCCGAATTCGGCAACGACCTGCAGCACCCCGCCGTGCGTGCCGTGCCCGCGTTCGCGCCCAAGGTCGCCGTGCAGGAGTACCTGAAGAAGGTCGCCGCCGAGTCGAGCCTCACGTACACGATCGTCAGCACCGGGCCGTTCCTCGACTGGGGCCTGTACGCCGGGTTCCTGCTCGGTTCGCCGAAGGAGCGCAAGGTGGAGATCTACGACGGCGGGCATCAGGAGTTCAGCGCGACGACGCTCCCGACGATCGGCCGCGGGGTGGTCGCGGTGCTGCAGCATCTGGAAGAGACGAAGAACCGGGCCGTGTACTTCCACGAGGCGGTCGTTAGCCAGAGCAAGCTGCTGGGGATCGCGAAGGAGCTGACGCCCGGGGAGACGTGGGAGGTGACGGAGAGCAAGTCGGCGGACCTGAAGGCGAGGGCAGACGAGAAACTTGCGAAGGGCATCTTCGATATGGAGGTGGGGATTTCGCTGGTCAAGTATTCCATCTTAGGGCCAGGGTTTGGCCCCGTGTGGAAGAACTTGGATAACGAGTTGCTGGGGATCAAGACGATCTCGGACGAGGAGTTGCGGGCGATCGTGAAGTCCGCGTTGTAGGACTAGAGATCGCTCTGTTTCTTGATTAAGTGTTGGTATGTAACGGAAACGCGTCGTGATACATGAAAATATGTGCTTAGCATGCGCGTCACGAATGGAACCAAAAATTCATACGTGGATGGCGAACATATGCAATCCATGGGAAACCGCGGGGCTGAAAGGGTGCGTCGAGGCTCGCCGCGCTTTCCCGATTCGTGTGCAGTTAGCGTCCATGCCCTGGATTTGCCTCCTTGTAGTAGTTCGGGTCCATCGTTACAAGGATACATCGCGGCCGAAAGCAAGCCCCTGGGCTAGAGTGCCATAAACCTTGGGGTGGTGCGCTACATATGAGGTAACGAATAGCAATTCCTTCTCACGGTCCTTTCCTGCCGACTTCAGTGCTTGAAGTCGGTCGCCGTCCCCAACGGATTTACCCTCGAATATGGCCAACACGTTAGAGCAAGACGAGCAGGATCTGCTCCAGGTGCGTTTCCTATACTAGCTCCCGAAGTTCTGTTGCTCATACGACCACGCATACCACAGTCTGCCCTCGCGGAGTCTACCGCGTTCTCGTCCGTCCCGCTGCCGCACCAATCGACCGTCTCGTCCGACCCAGCGCCGTCCGAAGAGCCGACGACGGTTGCGCAGCCCGAGACCCAGGCAGCGACGACGCAGGCGACAGATGCCGACGCGCGTGCAGCGTGGCAAGCGCAGTACGAGGCCGAGCTCGCAATCTTCCGCGCGCAGTCGGCGGAGCAACGCGCGAGGGCTGAGCAGGAGCGCGCCAAGTGGGAGAAGATACGAGAGGAGGAGGAGAAGAACGGCGCCGCGCCGAAGGAGTGGGAGGACGTCGGCGCGAGCGGCACGGCGAGCACGAGCAGCGCGACGGTGTCCGCGTCGCCAAGCCCCGCGGACGCGCGCAACCTTGTCGCAGGCGAGCAGCCAGGACACTCCCATGCACACGCGCACGAGCACGAACGGGAGGAGAGCGGGACGGACTCGGGCTCGGGCTCGGGCTCGGGCACGGGTTCGCATCCGGAGAAATGGGAGATACCGTCGTCCATGAGCGCTTCTTTCCCGTCCTCGTTCGACATCGACACCCCGCCGTCGCATGACCATCAACATCACCACCACCCACACGACCACCCTCACCACCACGGGAATGTCCCCGTCCCGCTCCCTCCTCCCCTAGGTGCCGCCGTGCATGCGCCTGCCCCAGGCCCGTCCGCCTCCAATCCCGCGCCAGAACCCATCTCCGCTACTCTGTCCGTTTTCAACGCATCGTTACCGCTCAAGGTCCGCGCGCTCGCGCTCGCGTCGAGCCTCGCGATTAACTTCTTGCTGCCCTTCGTGAACGGGGTGATGCTCGGCTTCGGCGAGATCTTCGCGAAGGAGGTCGTCGCGGGGTGGATAGGGTGGAAGCCCGCCAAGCGGAGTGCGCCGACAGCGGTCGGGATCGGCGTGCGGGGCATAGGGGAACAGAGGACGGCGAGAGAGCCGTTCAGGAAGTGAACACGGTTGATCCTGTAGACCCGATCCGTGGTTCTTACACTTCGGCCTGGAGGCAATTGTGAAAACTTTTTTGACCATCGTGCTCTGCGCGCCATGCAAGGTGCTTCCTTTCCCTCAGTTCCCGTATGCCAAAGGGTGTATTCCAGTGAATGAAGTAAGTGCGAGTGCAGTGGTGGTGACAATGGCCAGATCCGTGATTACATATGAGTATCGTCCCGAAGTACAATATATACACCGTCCAGTCAAGCTGGACGCAAAGACGTCGCGCCAGCAACGAGGTGGTGCTTGAGCTGCCATAACCATCAGGCGCACGAAACGCCAAGCGAGGGGGGTCGATAGGGAGACGCGGTACTTATGTCTGGCCAAAAGTCCATGGGAAATTTCATCGTTTCAAGCCCGGCGCGGCCCTTGGGGGACCGGACATGTATTGCGGTGGTGGCGCCTGATAACTCGGTGGGCGCATAACGTGCTCGTCCGTCGTCGTCGCGGTTACGGTGCCGAATAGGCTCGGCGTGCGCGGGTAATGGTTCCTTTGGGCCGTCGCTTCTGCCTGGTTCGGAGGTGGAGGCGGGACGATGGGCATAGGCAGCGGGCGGCGGGGGTCGGGGTGTTGCGACGTCGGGACGCCCGTAGTCGGGTCCCACTCGGGTTTCGGCAGCACTTGGACGGGCGCTTGCGGCTCGGTCGCGCGCTCGGCGGCGAAGGGCACCGACGTCGGGGCGGACCACTGCGTGGTGGACATGCTGGTCCGGGAGGGCGAGGCCGCGGTGCGCGTGCCGGCCTGCGAGGAGGGCGAGGTGTGCGCGTGCGTGGTAGAGTTGGCGAGCATGTCTTCGACGAGGTGCATGCGCACGAAGGGCTGCGGGCGACGCTCGGCGTCAACGAGGCGCTTCTGTTCGGCGAGGCGCCGGCGGCGGAGGCAGAAGAGGGCGCAGGCGGTGAGGAGCGCGGCGCCGATGAGTGCGCCCGCGATGCCGCCGACTATGCCGCCGACCATGGCGGCGTGCGAGGAGCCATGAGAGGAGGAGGGTGAGGACGAGGAGGAGGGGCTTGAGTTGGAGGTGGAGGCGGGCGAGGAGGAGATGATGAGGGTGACGGTTTGGCCGGCGGCGTTTGTGGTCGTCGTCGTTAGGAGCGAGCTGGAGGTAGGGGAGGCGGGAGCATCGAGGGCGGTGGGGGAGGAAGGAGAGGCGGAGTCGGTATCAGAGAAGGTCGAGGTTCCGGAAGGAGCGGTGGACACGGACTCTATCCCGGAACGCGTCTTCTGCTGTTGCTGCGTCTCCGTCGATTGGACGGGCTGCGTCTGCGTCGTCTGTGTTTGAGTTTGGGTATGAGTCTGCGTTTGGGTCTGGGTCTGGGTCTGAATTTGAGTCTGTGTTTGAGTTTGGGTCTGTTGGCCCGAGCCGGCTTGAGTAGTCGAGGAGCTAATAGCGCCACCTTCGGCGAACCTGTGGGATTGGCACCGTCAGTTCGGGTTTTCGTGGAGTATCGATGGTGGGTGGTTACGCACTCTAGTCCGTACACCTCCACGTAAGAGCCGCCATATTGGCCGACGCCGGTGATGGTGAGCTGGAAGGTATGCTGTTTACTCCCGTCCAGACCCGACTTGGTGTACAGGACGGCCTCGACCGGATCCTCGCCGTTGGTAGTCCCGGCGGACTCGTCAACCTGCAGAGGCAAAGAAAATCTAAGTTTAGTGGTGCGAAACATCAGTTTGCTGCGTGAGCGTCGCATACCGACGAAGAAGAACCCCCGTCAACAGACACAGACGCGACACCTCCGTTGAAGTTGTGGCGAGAGAGGTAAGAGATGGAGCTCCCTGTTTACCACGGACGGTCAGGAGAGAGTGGCAGAATGCTCAATGTCGCTTGCCTTGGAATGTGAAGGTGATTCCGTCGCCTGGGTTGCCCGAGAACCGGTGCCCTCCATTGTCCTGGTCTGACCTGGGTTGCGCCAGCCTTGAGCGACTGGAATTATAGATAGTTTGCTATGGCACGTACCATGACCCGGAATACGTGATCCTCGGGTCACCAGCCGATACGGTGACGGTCTGGGCGACGGATGATGGGAGCAATAAAGCGAGTATAAGGGCCGTCAAGGAGACATATAGTAGCATATCACTCGAGGGGACGCATCCACGCTGTCCACCGAGGACAAAGGCTTCGTACGATAGAACACGGCCGTCTAGACGAAACGAGCGGAAGGGGGGCTGTTATGCCTGAATGTGCGGGTGCAAAGAATGAGACCAGGAACGGAGAGCCGAGCCAATGTCCAACGTTGCGAATTGGCCATCCCGGTCCTCATCAGAGCCTTTGAATCCAATGGGAAAATCCTATAACGGGCCATGGGGAATCTCTACAGCCCTGCCATAACAGTCCCATCATGGTGCGATCCAGCCAATTCCCTCGGGCGCTGTGAATGGCCGTGTACGGTTAAGGGGGCACGTATCAATTTGCTCACGATGGCGACTGGGACCGATCATGGTCGACCTTCCTCGGCCCAAGATCCGAGAAGCTCACCCGTGAGCGAGACTGGCGGGCCCATACACGCTCCCTGATTATCACACCAGCATCAGGCAAGCATCAGGCATGGGTCTGTATAGGATGGAGTTGAGCAAGAGCAACGCTATCTGAATCTGAATAGCAATGAATCAAGGTGGCGTTCGTACGCAAGGCGGATTGATGCTCGAGCTTTGGAGATTGCCGCGCTTGACGATACCGGATAAGGAGTGACAGGAATGAACGCACGATGAATCCATCAGCTTCATCAAACCGCGGTTCGACTTCCAGACTCAACAGATACAGCAGGGACGGCAGCGCGCCCACAAACTCCAGGATCAACAAAACGCTGGCACAGGCAGTCGAGAGGCGCTGCAGGCCATGGCCATGCAACGAGGATACCCGACCGCGCGCGCTCTTCACGAACGCGGGCCACGACGCGGCAACGTGGCCGACGCCCACGTCCAAAACAGGCAAAAGAAGCGCGGCCACGCGCCGAAAAGGCTCGATCACATGACATGTTCGTCGGACGCGTTATTTGGCGCGTATTTGTTACGTCACGTGTTTGTTCAGTCTCGCTATGTCGCCGTAGCGGGAGCTCGTTGTGTTCGTTCGCGTCCTCGTCTGTCTCGGCGACTTCGTCTTCCTCCTCACCCAGTCCTTACCCTCTCACACCGCTAACATCGCCCTCTTGACCTCGTCTTGACACGAGCGCAACTTGAACAACAGCGCCGACAACCCGCAACAGCCGACTTCGAGCACGACGTCGTTACACCCCGACATCTTCACTAAACACAGAGAGAACACCCAGCGAGCAACGTTCATCCAGACTATCCACCATGGCATCCAACCGCGTGAGTACACTACCTCCCATCCCGCCTCATATCGGGGGGGGTTTTTTTTTGTCGAAATCTACCTCCCCCGCTCACCACCCGTCGTCTTCCCCAGATACACGCCCGCGCTCGCGCAATCCGCCCCAACCGTGACGAGAACGCCATCACCCGGCACTCCCGCCAATCCTCCAGCATCACCTCCGCTGCCGCCGCCGGCGTCCGCACCAGCGGCGTCTTCGTCCCACCCGCCAAAGCCGGCGCCCCCACCAAACTCCCCGCCCGGGCCCCGACCGGCCCCGCGGGCAAGGGCGTCGCCACCGCCGGACTGGCGGTGCGGCCCGCGCTGCACGAGGTCACCACCCGTGCCGTGAACAGGAAGCAGGTCCCCGACGCCGCCGCCGAGATCCAGAAGGAGGCTAAGCCGACCGCCGTCGAGTCGCTCAAGCGCGCCCGCGCCGCATCGGTCTCGGACGCGCACCAGCCCGCCCGCCGGGTGCCGCTTTCCCAGGCCGCGAGGGCGAGGCAGCCCATCGCGCCCCGCCAATCGATCACGGGTGCGGCTCGCCGAGTCGTTCCTGCAGGCGCGAAGGCGTCGCGCATCGCGATCCGGGTCGACGCGCACGAACTCGCTGAAGCACAACAAGAGCTCGAGATGGCCATCGAGGAGCAGGAGGAGCACACCGCCGTCATCGCCACGCGCCACACTGAGCCGGACATGCGCGCGATGGAGGCCGAGTACGAGGCCGAGCACAGCGCCGTCATGGGAGAGCAAGAGGTGGAGGCGCTCGTCGGCGCCGACAGCGATATCGAGCTCGTGAGCGATCGCGGCGACCTGGAGCACCTTGAGGACGAAGACGAGGAGGAGGAGACCGCAAGGCAGAGCGCGTCGAAGGAGGAGGAGGTCGATTTGGACGCGGTTCAGGCCGAGCTCGAGCGTGTGTGGCCCGACATGCCGACCGCGCACCGACGGAAGTGCGAGGCGGAGGTGGAGCGCATCAGGGAAACCTTTGGGCAGGAGGAGCTCGAGCCTGGCATGATGGATCCGAGCATGGTCAGCGAGTACGCGGACGAGATCTTCGAATACATGCAGGAGCTCGAGGAGGAGATGATGCCTGGGACGAACTACATGGACGCGCAGAGCGAAATTGACTGGAGTATGAGGCAAACGCTTGTCGACTGGCTGCTGCAGGTGCACCTAAGGTGCGTTCCATCGAATGCCTGGAAGGTGTGGGTGCTGATACGAGGGTCCAGATACCACATGCTGGCCGAGACGCTATGGATCGCTGTCAATATCGTCGACCGGTTCCTGACGAAGCGAGTGGTCAGCCTGGCCAAGCTCCAACTTGTAGGCGTCACCGCGATGTTCATCGCCGCCAAGTACGAAGAGATCCTCGCTCCCAGCGTAGACGAGGTGAGCCAGTCGCAGTCGTTCCGATACCTCGCCGGGCGCTGATGCGGTACACCTAGTTTGTGTATATGACCGAGAACGGGTACTCCCGCGATGAGGTGTTGAAGGGCGAGCGGATCATGCTGCAGACCCTCGACTTCCGCGTCAGCGACTACTGCAGCCCATACAGCTGGATGCGGAAGATCAGCGCCGCCGACAACTATGATATCCAGGTCAGCAATATCTCGCCCTGAGGGCGCCCGTATTGGCAGATGCTGACCGAGCCGCTGGTGATGGCAGACCCGGACGCTGAGCAAGTTCCTGACCGAGGTGACGCTAATCGACTACCGGTTCCTGGGGTGCAAGCCGAGTCTCGTCGCCGCCGTGGGCATGTACACCGCGAGACGGATGCTGGGTGGTGACTGGGTAAGTACAAGTTCGAGTTCAACCCTCCTTTCATGGCGGTGATGATGATGAGATGCGGGCTACCACGCCGCTTCCTCATTGTGCTGGCCACGTGACCCTCCGTACCGCCCTGTTGCCTGCCTCGCGCTCGGTGCTGACCCGATTTGGACCTTCCCGCAGGACGAGGCGTTCGTGTACCACTCCGGCTTCACCGAGGCGCAGCTCGAGATGGGCTTCCTCCTGCTCGTCGACAAGCTGTGCGAGCCCGATTTCCACAAGATGTACGTTTGCAAGAAGTACGCGCACAAGCGGTTCTTGAAGGTCCGTTCCGTCCGCTCGTCTGCCTTATCGCGGAGGTCTCGGCACGTGCTGATGCCGTCGTTTCATTACTATCAGGCGTCCGTCTGGGCCGTGAATTGGTGCCGGGAACACGAACATCTCCGCGCTTTCTTGAAAGGGATGATCGAGTGAACGACGCAAGAAGAAAAAAGGCTCCTCCCTTGCACATATGCACCAGGATAATATCAGCAACGGACCCTGCACCATACAATCTCACTCACGCATTGCATCGCATACACAACCCACCATGCACCATACATTTTTTGCACCAGTCTTGGACCTCCATGCCCCTCACCCTCTTCCGGCAATCCAACGTATCCCCGCGCATCCACGACCTGCATGCACCCTAGCTTGGGTCCACGCCTACATGCCGACATGTCTCTCCTCTTGACGTCTTGTCTGATATGCAGATAATTGGACGTCTGTACTCTCCCCAAGCGTTCCGCCGGTCCACATCTACTGCGCCCTCGGTCGGCCGTCCTGTCCTTTCTTCGTTCACCGACCTCGATCCCCGTCTTCCGCCACCCCATCTTTATACTTCTATTTTCCTTTCTCTCTCTCAATCCCATCCATATCGTGTTCGATAAAAATCACCCTCCGAGTGCGCCTCCTCACGCACACACGCACACACCACACAACCTGTATATTTGATTGTCTGATTTATTATCTTTCTGCATAACGTCTGGTCCTTATCATCTACCAACAGTCATTTTGCACGTCTCTCTCTCTCTCTCGTTTCTTCTCTCTTCTTCTTCGCCGTCTCATCTAGTTATCTATTCGTGGTCGGGTGGGCTGCGTGCGTGCGTCCGGATCGACTCGCGGACGCTGGTCGCTCACTCGCCCGACCCGACCCGCTCGCTGTCGCTCGCTATTTGCTCTCGAATGAAACGTCCCTTTTTTTTTCTCTCCCGTCGTCGCGTTCGTGTGCGAGCAAAGAAAAGTCACGTCTTGTCGTTTCGTCCTAAATACACGCCCAAAGGAGGTATCGGGAAAGAAAACAAGTGGACAGCGGGTCAGAACCCCCGAGATCCCGAACGGAAGAAAGCGGGTAATGGTACAAATCCATAAAGATACACGTGGTTGCGGACGGGGGACTAATAGCTGGTTGGGTTCGCTCATATCACATTTCGCGGCTCTGCGTTAAAGAGAAGGGGGGGTTATCCGACGGGATGCGGCTGATCCGGCCCGTTGTTGGTTTCGTTCCTCGCGCGCAGAGCCGCCGTCGGCCGGTCATGTAGAGGGGGCTATCGTGCTATGATAAGTGTCAAGCTGCGTTATCTCTGGCCCACGGCCCGGCGCCAGGGTTACCGAAATGGGACGGCGAGAGGGAGAGAGGGAGGGGGGGTCGTCGACAGGCTTTCTTTTCCGAGGATAGAGAGATGCGAGGGCGGAGGCGTGATTGTGGTTTGGGCTGGTACAAATGTGCAGAATGATTTGACGGAGAGAGGCAAGGGTGGAAAGGTTCCTCTTGCTCGGCGCTCGATGGGTGTGTGATGATGATGATGATGATGACTTTCTTCTCTCTCATGGACCGAGGGTGGAGATGATGGGCCCGTGAGGTGTCGTCACGCGTACCTCGCGTGCGATGGGGCTCGTCGGCTGTTGGACGGCGTAGCCGGAGGGGAGGAAGGTGTTGAAGCCGTCGATGAGCTCCGGGTGGCCGGAGGTGATGAAGAGCTCGCCCATGCGGGTCATGCAGGTGCTCGTGCTGATGCTGGGGCGGGGGCGGGTACGGGGCGAGATCAGCGGGGGGTGCGGTGGGGGCGGAGAGCAAGGCAGCGTTCATCGGCTTACACGGCGTCTCGGAAGTCCTTGAAGATCATGAGGAACCGCTGGTGCACGTCGGGCTGGTCGTACAGCGCGGACCGGACTTGGTCGAGGTAGCGCAGCGCGTCGTTGACGCTGAGGGTGTCGGGGGAGACGCGCGATCCTTGGGCCATGGCGGGGAGGGGATGGCGGTGGGCGGTTGCCGTCGTCGTGGGGCGCGGTGGGCGGCGAGAAGATCGGTGAGGGATATGAGCGCGACGGCGGCGGCGGCGGGAGGAGGAGGAGGAGGAGGAGGAAGCGCGGGGCGACGGGCGGAGGCAAGCTATACAATCATCGCCTGACAGGAAATAACGGCACGGCCCATGCGCATTTCTTGTGTTCCCCCCCCTCCGTCGAGTCCGGTCCGTTCGTGCCCAGAAGACGCGGGGTTGTGGCGACACGTGGGAGACGCCGGCATGTGACCGTCACTCCTCGTCGCCCTTGCCCCCCCCCCCTCCATGCCCTTTTTTGTCTCGAATTGATGGTCGGAACGCTCGGGACGGCGCCGAGACGAGCGCTTCAACCGTCCGGGATGCTATGCACGGGGCGGGTTACATTCATGGGCCCCACCGCGATCCGCCACCGCTCCGCTCTCCCCTGCTGAGAGAGGGGAAATGGGCCGCGATACGCTTTTGCGCGCGAGCTTTCCGCGGACAGAAGGCTATATCGCCTTGCCGGCGCGGTGCGCCGTCTCGGAGCCTGGAGGGGCCAGGCGAGAAAGGGAAGGCACAACAACAACGCGCGGCGGTGAGAAAGAATCGCGGTCGACCCGCTGGCACGGAGCCGCTGTGCGGTATCGCCCCCCCCCCCTCTGCGGTGCTTCTCGACCCCGCGAGGTGACATCGCCGCCCCCGAGATATTGGGCGGCGTGTGATGCAGCGCGCTGTTTGATGTTATATTTTATTTTTCTTGTCGTAAACGTTGCAGGTCGGAACGACCGGGCCATACGGGAGGTGCAGATCTTGTTTCGAACCCAAACGTCAGGGCATATCAGACAAAGGAATGGATCCGCGCGGCTCACCGGAGCGCTGGCAAGTTCGTGCGCCGCGATCGGGCTACGCAGCCTTCGGGGAGATAGCATACTATCATGGAACCAGTGTTCCTATCGAAAACACTGTTCGAAGTGGGAACCAAAATTATGATTAGTGACCACGCTTTCTATGTTTCGTAATGATGTGTCCCTATCTTCGACACAGTCTGAGCTAGTCGTTATATTTTTACGGGACGTTGCAAAGATGCTAGGAATATTTTACGGGATGAGGCCGTTGATGGACCCGGAGTTCCTACCAGGGTCACACTCGTGTCACAGCCGGCATCTCCAGCCTCCGCTTCGGCATGAGATGTCGCGTCGACGTCGCAGCGCACAGAACGAGTTCTCTCCACCAGCAGATCTATAAGATGAATGTACACTACAACACAATGCTATCTACAGTATTATATCTTCCTGAAAAGTAAGCTAACCTGTTTAAGCACATCAGGCTCAGCATTATGCATTAGTAGGAGGTTTTCAAGTGAGGTTCGGTGTCATTATGTCTGCCCGAAGTAGGGTACAAGACCGTTATCATATGGTGACGGGGTGCGGGTGGTACGTTCTCGTCGTTCAACGCGGGTTGTACAGCGGCATGCCAACGTGTCGTGGGTTGAACCTGGTGCTTAGGCTTGGCGAATGTTGCGCCAGCGAACTGTGACGCGAGAGATTGGAACCCCGCGGAAGTGAGGGCATGCGTGGATGATATCGCTGTCGGAGGGCGATTGATGTTGGCAGGGTGAAGAGGGAGCGAGAGAGGAGCCAGCCGGGTGACGTTGGTGGGCGCAGGCGAACACAGTTGCGAGGATTTCGATATATCTGCAAGGTAGAGTGTCAATCGTAGCGGAGACAGTGCAGAACGACAACTCACTGTCATCGGGAGCTATGGTGTCGTCGACATCCATTCCCCAGCCATCCTCGTCATCCTCCTCTGCGCTATCCTCCTCTCTATCTGTATTTTCCATACTATCACTTTCAGTGCAGCCTCCTACCCCGTTATCGTCCTCGGTGGTAGCCAGAACCGGAGCAGCATCGAAGCGGGTTGGTGTCGCTGCTAGGTCGAAATCTGGCAGTGATATAGCCGGAACCGGAAGGTGGTAAAGGCCAGCAAATTGTGGATCCGTCTTCAATAGAGGTGTTTCTTGAAGATGAGCCTTGATAGCCGCAGTCAGTGTGGCAATAGTACCTTTGAGAGGGAGGTGGAGGAGGTAGGCAAGATCTTCAACGTCTGCCTTCCGCTTTGGGATGGTCCGAAATCGAACGTTCATGTCGAGCGCAAGCTGCGTTCGGCGACAATGAGCTGCCTCGCATTTCTGCCGTTGGGTACTACGGCATCGACGATGTCCATGCCCCAGCCGTCCTCGGCATCATCCTCCGTGCCATCCTCCTCCCCGTCTGTATTTTCCGTACTATCGCTTTCAGCGCAGTCTCCTACCCCGTTATCGTCCTCGGTGGTAGCTGGAACCGGGGCAGCATTGGAGCGGGTCGGTGTCGCTGCTAGGTTGAGATCTGGCAGCGATATAGGCGGAACCGGAAGGCCGTAAAGGCCAGCAAATCGTGAATCTGTCTTCAATAGAGGTGTTTCTTGAAGATGAGACTTGATAGCCGCAGTCAGCGTTGCCACAGTGCCGTCGAGAGGGAGGTGGAGGAGATAGGCAAGATCTTCAACGTCTGCCTTCCGCTTTGGGATGGTCCTAAATCGGATATTCCTGTCAATTGCAAGCTGCGTTCGGCGACGACGAGTTGCCTCATCTGTTGCATTTCTCTTAGCCTCCTTCGCAGCCTTTGCTGCAGCCTTTGCGTTGTTCTCGCGCAGGCGTTCGG